CCGCGCGGGCCACCTGCATCGACGGGCTGCTTAGGGGGGGGGGGGGGCGCCAATGAGACGCTCGCCCGTCGGCAATCCATCCCGTGTTGGCTTCATTGTAGCTTCTCAATTGTACGAATGTCTTGGCACCAGCTGATGGCTTGGGTCCCAGATCGCCCACTTCGTGCACGGTATTCGGATTTTGGCTATTTGCTCGTGTGGGGGTATATCGCAGATTTGTCAATGGTACCGCGTCTGCGACGCGGGCGCCTTGCGGGCAGAGCCCTTAGCCACCTTTTTATCTTGCGCGGTCAAAAAGAATTTTACGAACGGCACGACACGATTCACGCGACAGGCGAGGCGCGGGCGACAGCTTCCTCAGAAGCCATCGGCGTCCGTGTGCCGCAAAAGAATTTACCTGAGTTTCCCTCTTTTTTCTCTGTTTTCTTTCTTCTCTTAGGTCAGCGGTCGCCCGTTCATGGTGTGTGTCGTCGTGGTTAGAATACTCATCACTCACTCACACACATTTCACGGCCATACTCGAGTAAGTACTGTCTGACCTCCGATGAGTTTGCCCCGGCAGGGAGGGCGCCGCAATTCAGACAGAGAGAGAGGCTGCGGTCCGAATGATTTAAGAGTAGCTAGTACCGTAGTACGATGAGCAGGACGACGCGGATGATGGGCGCAGGGGGCGGGTGGGTGGGAGAGAAACTAGGATCGGTTGAGCCAGTCAGCCTCGCGGCGCAGGGAACTGGCTGGCTCGCTCGCTCCATCCACCGATCGATCGATGGCTGGCGTCAGCTGACTGACTGAGAGACTGCCTGCCTCCTTCCTGGAAGTCTCCGTCGGCCATTAAGAACCTTGCACAAAGTTCGCGGACCTGTCTCAACTTTGGTGTTCAAAGAACCTTGCACAAAGTCCGCGGACCTCTCTCTACTTCGGTGTTAAATGGGGGCGGGCGAGGGGGACTACTTTGTCGCTCACATATCGAATCCGTCCGAACTAAACGGCGAACCGCGGTATTCGTGTCATTCCACTCCCGGCTCACCCGTATGTCTTTATGGACGGGGGAGCTCCGGGGCGCGCCCCGGGCGGGGCGCCGGCAAGGCGGCGCGCGGCGCCAGTGCTGCCTCACGGCTGCGAGAGAGGGTGCGTGCGTGCGTACCCCCGCCCATAGCGCAACAATGACCATGACCGGCTAACACCGACTCGTGCCCAACTGTTCAGGACGAGCTGCCGGTGCCCACTCTGCCTGGGAGAGTACGAGCGGATGCACAATGACGGTGAAAGCGTGACACGGCGATACCCACTGCCTCGGTCGGCAGAGGCTGGCGCCGGTGCCGGTGCCGCCTCTGTGCTTCTCGGTGCTTCCCCGCCATCCCGCCGCGTGCATGGCCGAGGCAGTGGATGGTGCAGCACAGGCCAGAGGAGTGCGGAAGAGGAGCGGCGGGCGGTGGCGCGCGAGATGCTGCGCTATCTCAAGCCGCGGCCTTTCTCAGCCCCAGATAGGACGTCCAAGACGCCCAAACCAGAGTCAGAGCTGGGAGCGTTGTCGCAGCAGGCCGTCCGATGCCCCCCAGGCCGTCCTCACTCACGGGACCGCACGAGGCCGCCCCCACGTGCCGGTGACGCTGCCGTCAATGCGACGCTGATGCGAATGCAGCTCGAGCGAGACCGACAGCGGGCCAGGCCTGCTGAAGGCACAGCCGCACGCGACCACGAGTCACGCATGAATGATCTCAACACGAATCGGCGCACACAGTCGAGACATCCCAGGTGGCCTGTTGCGGCACCGACTTCCGACCTTCCCCTGCCCCACGTGTCTATGACGCCACCGACTTCTTCGTTCCTCCGACCACGCGGGCCTTCTCCACCGCTCGCTGCGACACACTATGGCGGACCGCTCCGCCACGCGCACTTGCCATGACTAATTTATTGAATGCGCAATGCTTTGTATCATTATGGTTATCGATACTGGGGGAGAACAGTCAGGCCCGGAGTGGATACGAGCGTATGCTCTTCTTTGCGCGAGGGAGTGTTGTGAAATCTGCCCACGAGTGTTGCGCGAGGGAGTTTTCTGTGTTAGTGCCAGTGCGTCTGCCAGTGCGTGCCAGTCCCGTGCCGAGTGTTGTGCGAGGCATTTTTGTGAAACTTTAACTTCTGCCTGCGTAGGCGGCTCTCGTGACCTATGTTCGTGCAAGTGCGCGCCAGTCCCGTGCCCAGTATAATGTGAAAGAATTTCACAGCACAAAAAACTCTCTCGCACGACACCCAGAGGGTACGGGATGGGGAATGGCACTATAACCTCTTATAAGGGACGCACAGCACAGCAGTGCAAAGAAAGAAAGAAAGTAAACAGACGTCCCAAGTTAGGGCTGGGGG